TATGAGAGGTTGTCTTTACCTTCATTGTCAATTTCACAACTTCTATTCTTTTGCAACTTTCCACTATTAGTTGCATGATAGTACAATTATAAATATATATGAAAATATAAAGGAAAGAGAAGAACAACAAGATCTTATCAGATAGTTTTGAGGATGTGAAGTATTTTGTCCTTGAACTCTTCACCATCAGCATGTCAAGCAAGGGAGAAATGGAAGAGACAAGAACAAAGCATATCTGTATCGGATTTTAAGATTCTGTATGCCTCTTACATGGCAGAGTATCTTTGCTTTATTTATATCTTGTCCTGCCTGTAAGATTGCCTTTCATCTGTGTAAAGATATCATAAAGAGTAACAGTGTTGTAAATTTGAAAGGTTGTTGTAGCTACTCCTGACAAAATTTTTTAAACAAAGTAATCATCATCTTTGTCCCACTTAAATCTCTCAATCTGTCTTACCTTTCCCTGTATCTTCCAGCGTGTTTTGGCTCCTATTATAGGCAAAACTTATAGGAGGCTAATTGATTCAGCACAGCTTGTCTAACTCAGAAATTAATAGGGGGAAAGGGAAACTACCTCATTTTTTTTACCAGATTGTGAACAGAAGTCTGTGTCACACTCTGTCTCCCAGGGGGCAGTGTGATGAACTAATCATGTAGTGATCTACTAGGTCACAGCAAATAATTAAGGCACTTGTTACAGTAGTCTGTGTGGTGCCATCCTATAGAGATTCTGAATGGATTTTCCATAAATTCAAGAAGAAGTCCTTTAAAACCCTAATTTAAAATCTACATCATAGCTAATTAGGAACAGGATGGCTCAAACTAAAGCATCATTTCACAGGTAGTGTGCTAAGAATGCACTATGTTCCATCAGAAAAGAAAATTTCCTTTCTTTTTAGCTCTTCCAATATCTAAAGTATTTGCTGAAAAAGGAATACATACTTTACAGCTTTGGCAATCAGCATTACAAAAGAAAGCATAAGACAGTTTGCATACCTAGAAACCAATTACCTGACGTTTTTATATTATAAAACAAGTTTAAAATGCCACAGGATAAAGAAATGTACCCAGTCAAAAGGAAGACTCCTCATAAAGTGGGAATAAGATTAACATTAGAAGAATTAGATGAAAATGCTTAGGAATTTCTTTCAGGACATTTTTTTTTCTAAAGGAAGTTAAGTCGCATACTGTCAAGCACAATTTACATGTGGATTAGACTAAAACCAAAACAGTACTCCACAATATTTCTAGGCGGTCTTTCTCAGAACTTTATATGTCTTATTACATGACAAGCAAGAGTAGTTTTATTTTATAAATAGAAATTCAGAATTTTGAGGAAATAAGTTACATCAGTTCAAAGTGACTCATAATATCTAGTGTTTTAATGTGTTAGAGAATCCAGGACAAACATAAACTTCTAAAATCAATCTAGAAAACTTCCAGATGTGTCTGATATAAAACTTTTTGGATGCTTATTTTTATTTCAAAACTTGCAAGATAATCTTCATACTATGAATATTCTGTAACTCACTTTATTTCCAAGTTAGTTACTAAACTACTATTGTTGCTTCCTTTTTCTGTTAATATTTTGGATAATCTAATGTATTTAAGAAAGTGTTTAGGTGTATTTTTTCTATATATATTGGAAGTAATTAGGAAGAGAAATATAGTAATACTGGATACAGGACTTTTGTTCTAAAATATTGCATTTTTCTATATATCATCCTATTACACAGTTTAATTAAGACCTAAATCCCTTGAATATGTAACTGTGAATTAATTCAAGCACAGCTGAAACCAGAGAAGAAAAGCAAATATATGTTTAAATAATGGATTAAGATTCACCAAAAATTATCATACAGCAATCATTCTCAGTGAAATATCTTATTTGCCATCAATAGATCATTTTTAATCTATCTGTATCTATATATCTCTCTATATATATGTTTCTAAGTAAAATAAGGAAAATACTCATCCTAGCAACAAAAGCAACTCTAAATCATCTAAAATAGCATTAATTATGATAATTTAATAACATAAAAATTATAAAATATTTTAAAGTTTTATGAAACCTTAAAAATTTGTAAGACTATGTCATTGATCTGATTTAATTTTGCAATGTTCAAGTAATTAAAAGATCCATAGAAAAATTTTGATTGCATTATGTTATCAAAACTATCGGGTTATTTTGATTCTATGAAGGAAGAGTAGAAAATCCTTAAATAAATATTCTTGACCTTTTATGCAAAATAGATGCAACAAATGTATAAAAGTTATACAGGCTTGTCACAAGTATTACATCAAAAATAGAACCATTAAATACAAGCAATTCATTAGGAGTAGCTCACTTAGTGTGAGAAGAAATGCTTTAAATAATAAACTTTGTGAACATACAATTTTCTGCAGTGTTCATCTTTTACTCCTTTTATCTCAAATTATATAATATATATTCTTTATACTGAACAATAACTATAAAAACTACTAATGATGTGACCCGGTAAAACACAGATTAAGATTGTTTAAAAAGTAGTAGTCATTTCATAATTTTGAACTTCCTAAATTAAATTGTCTCCTTGTAGCCCACTGATATTAACAAATTTTTTAAAGCAGCGAAGGTATTTCAACTGCTATAACTCCTAGCATGCCATACTTACAACCAGAACCACTGGTTACTTCATGCAACAGCTATAAAAATAGACTGCTCCCATGGGCATGTGGCAATTTTTGAATAGCTTTAGTACTTATTGCTGTCAATACCTCAATCGTCACATTCTCTTTTTCCTCAGGACTTTACAACTTGGAGATAAACATAGAAAATACAGCCTCTGAAGAACATTTAGCAATTAGCCAATAAAATTCACTGTAAAATAAGTTGCTAAATTTAAACAATACATTATCCGATAGTCAAACTATATACTAGGATTGAAAACCTATATATTTAACCAAGGTACTTACATTGAAAAATGGATATATAAGCAAAATATTACATCATAATGTTAAACAGGCTTAATTCATCATTCTAAGTCACTTTTACTTAATCAAATATATTAATGACTTGACTTATCTAAAACATATAATGATTGGAACATATACTTGAATTTTTTTCTATAAGAAAGTAGCAGTTGTAGTGTGCAATGTTATTTAGGTGAGTATGTAATCAACATTCATTTTAGGACTTGGGCCTATATTTTCTTCATCTCTTTGTTTCAAAACTTTTCTAAAGGTTTATAAAAAGAAGATATCCATTAACTGAGTCTTTTTAGATGTAAACTTTGAAAAGCAGCTGCTGCTTTTGCCACATATGCTTCTTATACCCATTACTGTAACACTCAAAATTAAGTCTCATTTACAGTATAAAGGATATAAAGCAAGGAAACTCCTTTGAAGATTTTAATGACAAGGCAAAGAGTTGAATTACTACATTTTATTTTTTACATGCCATTGGACAAATAATTTTCTCATTAGGGCAAAAATCAATAAAGCCTATGTGAAAGTTGTAAAGTGCTCATTAATAAGATTAATTAGTGTTCTATGTTAGCTATGCCAGCATATACATCAATTAGTAATTGTTAATTGAATTAGCAAAAATCAGGGGAAAAAAGCTTGGTTTTCTTATTTATCATTATTTGAATGAAAAATTTACATGTAACTGTACTGACTGCTACTGTTAGTAAAACTTTATTGTATACCAAAAGTTGAAGATATAATTGATTCAAATAGGAAAAAGACATTTATACGTTCAAAGTGCCCAACTTCACCGTCCCCCCAGTGGAGTGACAAAACAGAATATACTTCAAAGCAAATTTACGTTCTTATTAGAAACAGTGACAAGTATCAACAACTAAATGATAATATGTTAGCATTTTCCTCAACATGCAAATCTACTAGCTATCTCTAAAGTTCAGTAATGACTTCTCATAGTGCAACAGCAAGTTACTTCCATATGCATTACAACAAACCACTCATCATCCAGTAAAAAGCAAATTAAACTTTGTTGATGGTAAGAACAAATAAGCAGTTGCCATAATTACATATTGCTGTCATCTAGAAATGGATTTCCTGAGCACTTTCTATGTGGAATGTACATTGTATACATGGGTGATGACCCTTGAAATTAAGAATATTAATATTCCAAGGTGAGACTGAAGACTAACCCGAAAAGTATTGCATCAATTTCATGAGGGCTGAATTTTATTGCTACAATTTAATGACAAAAGCTGTTTAATTTGTTAATAAACAAGTAATTCAACAACCTTGATTTTCATCAATATTTTATGAAAGATACTTTACATTCTTCTTTGCTAAGAAAGACAGGTATTTTGATCCTTGTTAAGATGTGAAACATATGTGTACTAATGGGTTGCATACTCTGTAGAGAGAAAACACACCGTACTGTATGGTGTTACTGTTATAAATGATAGATTTTAGCCACAAACTGTTCTCAGACTGTGGAACTGAATGGAGAGTTGTAATAACTGCCTGTGTTCCCTACCACAGCACCTTAGCAACAGGGAAAGGACAGACTAAGTTTCCACAAGGTAAAAGCCATTGCTTAGCAAAAAATACAACCAAAATATGAAAAAATTTAACTTGTTTGTTAAAAGTCCTTCAAAATTTCAGTGACTTAGTTGGTCCAATTTACTTTAATACAGAAAAACAAACAAGACAGAAGGCAAAACCCAATACCTGTAATTGAACTTGTGCCAAACCCACCCCAGCTCCCACAGTTAGGTATCCACTTCCAGCCCAGATCAACCTAAGACAAACTATGGAAACTATCTTTTCTTCTTGACCTGTCTTATTTCTCTTTTTCAGTGTATTTTATCTTTTATCACACCATTGGCTACAGTCTTAAAACAAGTACCTGCTTAAATCCCAAAGTCTCAAGAGTCTTGTAAAATCAACTCATTAAAGACTTGGAAGAAAACCCAAATCTAGGCTGAGAAAGGGTTGCATGCTTTACCAATCCTCCTGTGATCTTTTCTGTGGATGGTCCTTACCTGCTGTTCCCCGGGCTCTGTAGATTTCACCAGGTGTTTATCCTTGTACAGAGACCAGAGACCGATATTGGGCAGGAAAATTAAAGCCACCATGAATAATAAAGTCATCTGCAGAAATCTCTTCTGTTTCCTCTTCATGGCAAATGGTAACAGAGGAGAAAAGTTAAAGGAGATGGCTCCCTGACTGCTTCTTGAGTTTAATGCCAAAGTCCTTTCCTCTCCCCTGCGAAGCACCAGAAAGTGAGGGGAAGCTACAAACTTTTGTTGCGTGCTCAGCACCAATCTGCTGAATTCAGAGGGAGTTGGCCATCTGCAGAACAAACGCACAGTTACTTTTCCCAGGAAAACTATGACGAAGGCATTATCTATTGGCTTAGAAATAAATGACTCAACGGAGAAAATCATTAAGCCTATTGACCTCCATTAATACAAAGGAATGAAGTAAATATGATCATTTTATAGACTAATGATAAGTTATGAAAAAGGCAATAGCACCCTAGATACTTCAGAGCTGCTCTTTCTGGCATTCTCCTTCGCCCATCCTCCCCACATAGGATGGGGGTCTGGGTTGGGGGAGGATCAGGTTAGGACAGCACTGACTGATTGAGAGGGAGTGACTGACTTTGTCCCCATCAAGTGTCAGGAAAAAAAAGTGTCCGCTTTTGACATTGGCACATCACCTTCCTGGTCCTTCCTGAATCTCTCCTCCTGTGCTACCCTGGGGATAACCCACCTGGACTCAAGTTCAACTCCCTCCGGAGCCAGCTTGCCAGCAGACTCCACGGGGATCCAGAGACGCGGGATCCAGGGCAGGACTCCTGTTTGGGTAGAGTTCCACAAACTCCGGGAGCCTCTGGTGCTGCCCCAATGCTCCCGTCAGGCGGAGGAGGCTCAGAGACCTGGGAACCTGGCTGAGAGGAGGCTACAGATGTCAGCTGAGTCCGGCCAGGAGTGCAGCGTGGCGCCGCGCCTTCCCCGCGCAGCCCTCGGAACCGGCTCCTCCGCCCGGCGCGCGCTGCCCATCAATCTCGCCCCTCGCCGGGGTGACGCTTTCACGCTCCGCCGTTCATGTTACCATTCTTCGCCGGCAGCGGAACGAACCCGGAGAAGCATCGCGAGCGCCTCAAAGGCAGTGTGTTCAAGTCTCCGCTGCACCGGGAGGGACGGCGGGCGGCGGCGAGGCCGGAGCGAGCCGGGCTGCGGGAGCGGGCGCGGGCTCG